GCGGAGGCGGCGGCGGCGGCGGAGGAGGAGGAGGAGGAGGAGGAGGAGGAGGAGGAGGAGGAGGAGGAGTGGGAACAGCAGGAGGAGGAGGAGGAGGAGGAGGAGGACGAGGAGGAAAAGGAAGAGGAGAAAGAGGAGGATAACGAGGAGTGGGTAGCCATTTTGGCTCAAGTCCGTAGTGTTTCTGGCACCGGACCTGAACATACAAGCACGGGGGTCGCGGTCACACAGTTTACCCCTCGCATTGGCCCTCGCCAGGGCAGCCCGCGGCCGGCTCTGATCCCTCCTCCACATCAGAAGTTCTCCCCACCCGTTCCACCGCCACACGAGTGGGAATAATTACTAGGGTAGGTGGGCGAACTGCGGGGGAGGCGGGGAAGAAGGTTGGAGGTTGAGCCAGAAGTGAGTGACGGTTGGGTGGTGGCTCTCTCAGGACCAGGTGGAAAGTTGGCTCTTCGTGTTGTCGCCTCCGAGGCCCCTGCAATGAGCTGGTGACTAAGGGTGCAACAAAGGAGGTGCACGAGAGAGCTCTAGTCGTTGGTCTTGGGGAAGTAGGTTGTTCCACCCATGCGGCCACGTGATAAGTGCTTTGGCAGTGCGTCGGGTGATCATCATACATGGGTGAGAAAGCCACGGCTGGTTCTGAAACGCTGTCAGATCGCGGACCCGCTGCATAGCACAGCCTGTTGTAGCCGTAGCCGCTGTAGGTGCAGGTGGTACGTCAGATCAATTTTGGATGAGAAGGTCATGGCGGGTTTTGAAGCACTACGTTACCGTGGGCCCAATGTCTTCGCGCCTCCTGAGGTTGCCGCTGTCCCCGTTTGCTGGTGTGGCCGTCGATTGTGAGTATGTTGGGTGAGTGCCGAGTGCCGAGTGCCGTAAAAGGAGAGAATGGGTAGGTGGTGGGACAGCTGGTGGGGCGTGGCGGTGCCTGAGCAACATTGGGTAGTAACCTGCGGTCGCTGGTAGCCGAGCTCGAGGATACATGTGTGACCGTAGCACGCACGCAGAGGTTATGACCTTTGTAGGTGCACAGTACTTAAGGAGGTGGTTTACTCTCGGGAGTTCATCAACTGCTATGGCTGGCAACGCCCGCTGACAGGTATGTGCGGCTGCCTGGAAAATGGGCGGGGCCATGTTGCCAACGTATCCAAAACCTTATCGTCAA